TTCTGTATTGTAACCACTTTACTTGATCTCCTCCTGACGCCTTGGCATTTTTCAATAATTTATATCTAAGGTTCATTTGCTTCCTGATTGATGAGTTTATCCAAGGTAGGGATTTATCTTTCACTTTAACTTCTCTAACCGGGAGATTTCGATTCAAAACATTGTTATATAGGTAGTTCCAGGTATACAAACTGTCGTCAATGTCATCAAATATACTAGCTATGTGCCAAGGAGCTTGGTCAAATTCAAGTTTCAACTGGTCAGTGTCCACCACCTTATAGTTCTTCGTTAAGATTACCTTTGGTTTCCCTTTATTTCTGGCTAGTCTTAAAACAGCATACACCAAATGATGATCAGAGATACCAATATCGATAGATGAGGATTTGTCCACTTTAGATGGCTGGCTGGTGATGATAAGGTCCAGTAGCGACTCAGTATTGTATAGTACTGCACTTTACAGACTATACTGTACTAAAGTTGTAAGTTGTTAATCATTCTTCCAATGAGGATTTTGATTGCTGTTGGTCTGTTTTACATTTGTCTTTCATCGCGTGTTGACATTTATTCATTATATCAGGGTATCTGTGTATGTATATGTTTGGGCTTCTGAATTGTGTTTCTTATAACAAGGATTTTGTTATATTGAGGTTCGTTATATCGAGATTCTGTTGCAAACATTTTACTGTTACAGTAACTGTAGCCTGGCTGAAAAGTATTGTAAGCTATACTGAGGACCTCGTTATAGAGAGGTTCATTAAAATCGAGGTTCTACGGTAAGTGCCAAACTCATATAAAAAATTTCACACTATGTAAACTTGAAAAAAACCAAACAAACCAAACAACAGTACCCTCTGGGTAAATGCAGCATTATTCAATAGAAGACTACTTGAAATTAAAAGTATTGCCAAGGGTTATACTACATAATCACCATTAAAACACAAAAACTGGTACCAATATTTTAAGAGAAACCATTACCTTCCCCAATGACTTCAACCACCCCAACACACGTGATGTCATGTAAAGAGGAGTAAAGATATACTGCCTGTAAAAAAAATTGATTTCCTGTTAATAAACTCTCAATACATAAAAATTTAGTTAGGTGACTTAAGAGAGTTCACTGAAATGTTTTGGTTTACATTTAATCAAGCTGAGCACAAATTTAAACTTATCATCATAACAAGGGAGCAAATATGTGGTGAGGCATGTCTTTATGATGATCGTCGGAAACTTTCATTTTCCAATTAATTACGTAACATCTCTTAGTTTATGTGCACACTGTGAGTGATCAATTTTGCAAGCCATGTTTCACCATATGGCCCGTTAAATTCAAAAGTTTGTTTGAATGACAAACATCTCAATTAACTTGTTTTCCTGGACTAGAACCTCACACTTAAGCCATTAATCCAAGCAGAAAAAATTGGTCCCTAGCTTACAGAACTCAAACAGAGCTTGTAAGAGGTCTTCCTTGGTGCATTTTCTGGGTCTTTCCTTTACAAGAAAAATTACTTTATACCTCATTGAAGACAATTTTGTGCCTGCCATTTTCTTTCCCACTACTTGGAAAAAAGTGTCCAAGCCATGTGCTTCCAAAGAAAGATTTATTAGCTGCATCATACAGTGTCAATCGCAACTGAAATTCTACATCTTGGGAAACAACATCCTATTAAAATAGAGATGCAAAATTAAGGAAAGATTTCCATATATCCTCATACTGTTTGAAAACAAAGCCATAGTCCTGAAAGTAAACAATTGCTTGCCTTAGTTTTTTTTCTTTTTTTTATCCGAGTATTGTGCACATAGCGATGCATGGGGTTATGGTGAAAACATGCCAATACAGTAACTACATGCATTCCCACAGGTAGAAATGTGAAGTCTGTACTCATGCCAAGTGAACCACCAAGAGGGAGCTTATCCCAGTTTTCTTAGGATGAAGTGACTTGGAGTATCACCACCCTCCCCTGGATAGGAGGCAACTCTATCACAAAGTTACCCCCCTGCATTTCATAAGGCTTCCCTGTGAGTTCACTAGTACCAATTTATATTCCTCGGTGGAGAGAGACACTGTGAGAGTAAAGTGTTTTGCCCAAGAACACAACACCTTGGCTCCACCAGGTCTCAAACCAGGACCTCTCAACCTAGAGCCCACTGAGCTAATCAGTATATGACTGCACCTTTTATACACTTCCAACAGTAATGACTATATACACCAAATAAAATATAATAAAAATCATGGTAATGCAGTAAATGGTTTGAACCCGGAGGTAACATGTGAAGGTGTAGTGTGATCGTCCGGGTGAGTGTAGTCGTGAGAAGGACTGTTGTCGGTGGTAGTGACTGACGTTTCGACAACCTGTGGGGAAGTCATCATCAGAGTCAAGTGAATCTTGACTCTTGACTCTTGACTCTGATGATGACTTCCGCACAGGTTGTCGAAACGTCAGTCACTACCACGGACAACAGTCCTTCTCAGGACTACACTCACCCGGACGATCAGACTACACCTTCACAAAAATCATGGTAGCTGTTGTCATAATATGAACAGTGATAATAATCTGCAAACATGATGCCTGTACTATAGGTGGTTTGCAACCAATAACAAATGCTGGTGGACGTACAAAAGGAGCTAATGAGATATCTATTGTTTACGTCCACCAACATGGCGGCAATGACGTAAGGTGCAAATCACCTATTTTAAAGAAATTGCTGGTATCGCCGGGTGATCAGAAATTTAATAGTACATAATAAATAATATAAACATTGCTTGGAACAGTTGAAATATTTTCAAACACCTAAGGTGCAAATCACCTATTTTAAAGAAATTGCTGGTATCGCCGGGTGATCAGAAATTTAATAGTACATAATAAATAATATAAACATTGCTTGGAACAGTTGAAATATTTTCAAAAAACTAGACGAAGACAATCACGAGAAAAAAACAAGAAAGAATAAAAATTTAGACGCTGTATTTGTTGTTTCCTAGATACGACGGCCAAGAAGCATGCCAGAAGGCAAATACTGCTGCAAAGGTTTTTTGCATTTCCTTGTGCAAAAAAAAAAAAAATTAATTCTAAAATAAAGGTCACAATAACCTTAACGAGTTTCAAATTATGACCTCAACTAAAGTAAGTTGTGTTAACGTTACTATATGGCAACACGACAACAAACTTACATAAACTTGTGGTAGAGATATACCAATCACCGACTTGAAAACGAGACGAAATGGAACACTAGGCTTGGACTGAGATCCCGATTTCCGTCGATTCGGATGAAGAGGAATGAGACGATTGTTTTCAAAAAATTCTGGCCAACTTTCTTCCTGATCTTCCTCCGCCATAACAAACCATGGCGCCAATTTGAAATTATTACTATGCAACCTCGCCTGAAACCGAACGCATGCGAGAGGTAAAATTAAAAAGACTAGGCTCAAACCATCTCATCCAAATTTGGTGGAGTTCTCCTTATATGGAAAATTTAGTGGCGAGAATTGGGAGGCTTCCAGTCGAAAATGGCGGCTTGAAGTACCGAAACACTAGTCGAAATTCATTGTCATTTCCAACCTAGCTTTCTTAATATTCACCTTTAACTACTAGAAGGTCAAGTGTTAGTCGTAAAAAATTTGGTTTGTTGCTAAACTTTGTTACTCACCATGCTCGGCGGCTTGTTCATCTACAATCACAAAGGAGAGGTACTAATTTCGAGGGTGTATCGGGACGATATTGGGTAAGTTGTGGCAAATGTTGGCGTTGGGATTCCACTGAATTAGATCTTAATCCATATTCTGAAGTTGTGCAATTGAATTGAGACAACATTTCGAAAGGTGTAGAAGGAGGTTTTGCAGGTAATCAAATTATTAGATCGTTTAGCAAGCTTGTGTCAAGCAGGGAAAGTAGCTTTGATTCATGTGATTTCTGACGTCACCTCTAGGACATTTGTTTCAATAAAGCCTCTAATTGAGGGAGTTCTTTTCAGTGACAGTCAAATTAGACGAAATGTTTTGGATGGTAGATAGAGAATTTCATCTCTGTGTGGTAATATTTTGACAAAAAGGGAAGCTATCTCTGTTTAGCTGCAGAATTATTTGATGGGACATTATGGAAGAAGTGTGGTGTTCACTGGTTCAAGACCTAGGCTATGCTTCGTGTGCAGGAGGATGTCTGGTGGCAGACTGAACAAGTTTAATCTAATTCTTAAATAATTTGCTTTGGTTTTTGTCCTTATTAGTCGAAATGCTGTGGATGCTTTTCGTGTGAATGTCATCCATGCCAGTGGCCAGGTGCGTTCACCAGTCACCAACATTGCCAGGACAAGTTTCTTCCACATACGGCAAGGAAATGTCTGGCTGGCTGCTGTCACAAGGCAGAATGTCAATGCTGCTATGGTGTTCGAGTTCGTGAACCGTACTGTGGAGATTATGATTTCGTACTTTGGAAAAGTCACAGAAGAAGGGATTAAAAACAATTTTGTGCTCATTTATGAGCTTCTTGATGGTTAGTTCATTGTGTGAAATGATTTTTATTTAGAATGGGGTCTTATTTTGCAGCCTTCTTGATAAATGGAAGACTGACCTTTTTCTTAAAAACAAAAAAAGGTGGGGGAGGGGAGGGAAGCTCCAAGCTCAAACCTATTTAGAGCTGATATTTGATAGCCTAAAGCAATAAGATGGTTGCCAGAGATAGATTTTATAAGCTGGTAAAATAAACAGCAATCAATTCTTGTGAGTTTGGATGTGACTACGGGTCACCAAATTGGTGACTTTTGCTGCAGACTTGTATACTGAATATTTTGTCCTTCTGTAAGTGGCAACTGCAATATGTTGAGTAACACTTCAGTGTCTCTTTCTTTTTCTTTTAAAAATAGAAATAGCCGATTATGGATATCCTCAGAAGACTGATACAGCTATTTTGAAAACGTTTATCACTCAACAAGGAATTAAGTCACAGGTCAGTTATCTTCTGTTATCCACTTGACCCCTAAGAGTGACTGGCATGTAATTCATCCATACAATATCACCCCTGAATCACATATCAAGGTTGGATTGTCAGAAAGTTACTTCTGTTTTGATTTGTGGATATTTAGTTAATGTTGACAGCTGAAACAGAAGGATCAATCTTTTGTTTTGGCTGTCCTTACCAGAGCGGTGCTCTAGCAGCGCATGGTGGGCCCTTGTGCCTTACTTTTGCTTTTGGGTGACTCAGGAATGTTAGTTTTTTCACCAAAAGCTTATGCTGGGCACCCTGGATTTCACAGTTTTAGAGCACTGGGCTCTCTTCAATTTCATCCTAGAACACAGCCTTGCCTTACTGTGATTGTTCATATGTACCAATTCTGTTATTGACTTTTCTCTCTCTGTTCCACATATTTTTTCATTTTCTTTGGCATTAAAATACTGACAGAATAGAGTGATTTCCTTTGAGTGTTGATAATTGAAACTTAAAGGAAGATTTACAAATACAGGGTGTGGGATAAGCCTGGATGATGAGCACTAAGTTTTGACAATTCTGCTTGTTTGCTTGTTCTTTTGCGCAGACACGAGAGGAGCAAGCCCAGATCACAAGCCAGGTTACAGGACAGATTGGTTGGAGAAGAGAAGGAATCAAGTATAGAAGAAATGAATTGTTTCTTGATGTGTTGGAATCTGTTAATCTGCTCATGTCACCACAAGGTTTGTCAACAAATTTAAATCTCCATTATGATCTCTAAAAGATTTCTTAGTTTCATTTCTTGTGGAATGGTAACGATTGGGATGGCATTTTATGATGACAACTTTTTTCAAGGACCATGCATTGGTGTGAATGTCCTTACTACGGTTGCTGAAATACTGTCATCCACTTCTAGAGCAGATCTTTTTCAGAGAGTTGTTTAAATAATGTGTGGTTTAAGGTTTCAGTGAAATTGTGATGAAATAGCTCATGCAGTGCAAGCTGTACCTTATTCAGTCCAATGAGGGCTTGACACTTATGGTAGCCAACTAGCCACAGGCTAGAAGAAATTCAGTTTTGGCTAGTGATTTTCCATTTCCACCAACCAGTTTGGGTAGTAAACAAACTGAAATTGTTGTGACATCTAAGTGATCACTTGCCACTTGGCCAGTTAGTTGAAAAGTTAGTGTTGAGCCTTGCCAATCACGAATCATTTCAATTTGACTAGATAGCAATGGCAATGCACAAGATCAAATGCATACCAAATTAAGTGGGGTAAAATCTAAAATTAAGTATCTGCAATGCTCAATAAGAAGAAAGAGAAATTTACAACAAATAAGGGAGAACTCAAATTAAAAATAAGCAAACTGCCAGAACTTTTTGTAAATGTAATTTGTCAAGCTGCAACCTTTGCATTGGCGAATTTTGTGGAACAATCACAGAGCCCAGTGACTTAAAACCAATGCATGACAGGGTGTCTTTGAACACTAAAATTTAATCTGCCCTTCAAGTATGATTATTTTACAGAACCTGAAAAGTTGGATGTTTTTTCCTTGTTGAAGGTCAAGTTCTTAGTGCCCAGGTCTCTGGACGTGTTGTCATGAAGAGTTTCTTGTCAGGAATGCCAGAATGTAAATTTGGAATGAATGACAAACTAGTGGTGGAGAAACAGAAGAGCGGAGCTTCTGAGCCATCTCTTGATCCACAAAAGAAGTTAGTATAACTTATAAATCTCTGTGAATTGCAAATCATTTCTCCCTGTGCTAGAATATCTCTAATCATTTGTCTGTTGTCATTGATAGATATTTGATTCTGATAATGATCTGTTGTCAAATTTTGATTTCAAACTCAAAATTTGCCCTGAGGAAGGGCTAACATCAGCATTGTAAATCTTTAGGGTTACCAATTTGCATTATCAACTCAGTTGATAAATTAAAATTACCAAAATTGTTGGTTTTCATGTCCGTTTGTCTGTCAACTAAAGCTGCTAAGTTTTCACTCCTTATTCAAACCCTCTTCAGGTATTTTGCTCACAATATGCCCAGAAAGTTAGGGCTGACTAGAGGGATATGCTAAGCTTGGCCTGTCATCTCCAGTTCTTTAAGTTTTGTTTTTCTCTTCAGAAACACCACAAGCAAGTCAGGAATTGCAATTGATGACTGCACATTCCACCAGGTACTTTCTAAAATATGTTTTGAAAATTTTCCACCAATTTTTGGGTGAAATTTCTTGACTCTGCCCTATTTTTGTATTTTATTCATTGCTGTTTTATATTGCAGTGTGTAAAGCTCAGTAAGTTTGAAACAGAAAGGGCCATTAGTTTTATACCACCTGATGGAGAATTTGATCTCATGAGGTAAGACTCTGCCTGTGTGACAGCCTTTGTGGAACAACTACATTTTTTTATTCTTGCCACTGCAGTAGGTAAAGTATGTATAGTATGCACTTGTGTTAACTAATTTGCACTGCCAGAGGTATCCTTGTTTCTGAATTAAGTTAGAGTACTGCTGTGCCACCTGAATGGGATGCTATAACCTTGGACAATTTTGATGGGAAAAATTCGTAACAACATCAAATTATGACTCTTAGCTCCCATACTTAAGAATTTGATCAAGGAACCTTCCTTGAAGGGTAAGGCATTTTAAAGGAAAGCATCCTTCCCCAAAGGAAGTTTTCACTTACTCCTTCCCCCTCCCTTCCTCGTTCACCCACCCACCTACTCACTCAGCTGCTTATGGTCTAGTAGGCAGCTGTACTGAGAAAAGGGAAATATGTGAAAACCCCCACACCAGCATGCTTGCAGGCAAAACAGATGGCAGTAATATATCTTTAACCAAGCACGAGGGCCGTACTGGGAGAATATCGGCCTGAGGTCTTGACAGTACGGACCGAGCACAGTGAGGTCCATACAAAAAAGACCGAGGGCCGATATTCTTCCAGTACGGTCCCGAGCAAGCTTGGTTAATAAGAGATNTTTAGTCATTGGCCCTCTGACTGCCTGAGTCGTGTAATAAGAGGTCTTATAAGCTGCGGTAAACTGCCAGTAGCTGTCTTTTATTGAAACCCCTGTATTTTCCTCACAGCTGAAGTCAAGGGTGCTGAAAAGCATCACACAATGAACAAAGTGTTGCAGTTATATGACCTTTCCTTCTGAATTGCAAGATATCCCAACCCCAGTATACCAGTTTTTGTTGTACAGTGGAACCTCGATTTAACTAACCTCTATTTTACGAAGTCCTCGATATAACGAACGATATCCTATCTCCAAGCCAAAGTTTTAGTAAAATGCATGGAATAGAACCTCAATGTAACAAACCTTGATATAACGAATTCTTCGATATAGCGAACATAATCCGGAAGCCCAAACGTAAAATTTACCTCAGTATAACAAATTACAGTGTCAAAACACGACAGAAGATAAATGCTGAACAGATCAACAGTCAACAAATCCTTTAATCCTTATGGTAAAGAGACAGCAACCTTTCAGATAAAGGCTTATTATGTCACAGACATTGGCGCGATAGTATTTCGACAACAATCAACCTCTGCTTTATCTTCTTTGTCTCTTAGTAGTTCTCTTAACATCTTCGCTTTCGAAGGCTTCTTGTGATAGAACGAATATGTAGCCGGAATTGCAAGTCCAATGCCCTTGTTTCTCCATTTACCGGTCACTTCCACAGAGAATTGTGTGACAGAAGTCACCTGTGTTACAAATCAGTCATTAACTATGACCTCGATATAGCGAACTTTTTGGTCATTTCCCCTCAAATTCGTTATATCGAAGTTTTCGATTTAACGAACCCTCGATTAAATGAACAAATCTGGTCGGTCCCCAGCGACTTCATTAAATTGAGATTCCACTGTAAGACCATTGCTGAGAGGAGATAAGGGAGTAATTTTGGCTTGTTGCATCATCAGGTACCGTACTACTAAAGACATCAGCTTACCATTCAGAGTCATCCCGTTGGTGCGAGAAGTGGGAAGGTCCAGGATGGAAGTGAAAGTAGTAATCAAGTCTAACTTTAAACAATCGATATTGGGACAGAAAATAGAGGTAAATGTCACTTTTTTATTCTAGTTATGGTGTGAATTTTGTTTTCAGTTTAGTTTTCTGGTATTGTTCATAATTTTGACTCAGCTGAGTAGGGATCAGAAGGAAAGTAAGAGAACTTGTTAGGGCTCCAAGCTCATCTTTTTCGAAAAGTGTCATTTGCTTATCTTAATCATAAAATGGTCCCCAGAGATAAAAGCTAGGCTGTCTTTGGAAAGTAAAGCTAGCTGATATTTGAAGCATGAGACTCTTAACCAAAGGAATAAAGGCTGATAGATTCAAAAGAAACTGTTTTGGGCTGCGTCGGTGGGAGTAACAAAATAATTTGGATATATCAACAAAGTCGAAATGGTAAATTGGCCACCGTAACGTCAGCTTTTGTAATCGTTATGGTGGCCAATTTACCATTTCAACTTTGTTGATATATCCAAATTATTTCTCAACCAAAGGGTTGGATTTGTAAAAAAAAAAAAGAAAAAAAAAAGGACAGCAACAAAACAAAACAAAAACAGTTCAACAACAAATTATGTACAGTGTTACTGACATTTTATGGAAATGAGCAACTCAAGCTTCAAATTTAGTTGCCAAAATTGTCCTCCTGTTGGCAGTGTGACCAAAAAAGGGAGATGTTGGAGCACTGTGAATCATGGCAAAAAATGCTGCAGAGTAACAGTGTGGTTGAAATAAACCCTGACTATTTCTCAGTAGAGGTAGTGACAAGAGCTACTCTCTTTGATACTGTAGGTGAAAATTCCCACCCCACCAACTACAGCAGGAGTTCAAGTTGTTTGTATGAAGGGCAAAGCCAAGTACAAGGCCAGTGAAAATGCTATTTTGTGGAAGTAAGTTGAAGGTGTTATATATAGAGTAATATTATGTAGTAAATCCGTGGATAGCAGTGAATGCATTCTCTGATTGGCTACTAGTACTTGAACTCTAATTGTCCTTTGCTATTCACCTCCAAGCAATGTGCATGGGACTTGCACCCAAAAAATATTGAAATCATTGTAATATGCTAAATTATCTCACT